TCACGGCCATTGCTTGAACAATACGCTCTCTGTGAAAGCCTGACAGAATTTTTTTTCTCTCTAGCTGACTCTCCTTAGGCACACTCTACCTCATCAGTCACCTTCCTCTGCACCCACATAATCCCATTGAATAGAAAATTTGGGACAAGATTTAGTTTCAGGATGTCACAACAGAGGTTCTGTTATGTCCTGAGTCCTTACTGACCTTGTAGAGCTATGGCCAAGTATTATAAACCATCAGTCTATATTGAATTATTTTCGCAAACCTACAATCATTAGACTGACATCAAGTATGAAAAGATCCTTTAAAGCCTTTTGCAAGTAGAGTAACTCTAACTGCAATGGAACACCCATCTCTGACAAAAAAAAATAAAACAAAAAAAGGGGGATAAGTTGAGAGTCACAGAAGCTAGCGAATTGATCAAATGTGTGTAGGTGGAATGGGGCCTCAGTGCTTAAAGCAAACAAGCTACCTCACTCCTGAGACAAACATCCTATCTGGTTAAAGTCAGCTATTAGTCACTAGGCAACCTTGTATAACATGTTATTAACTTTGCAAAAGTGTAAATAAATGACCTTTTTATCTGAAAAATAAGAAGCAAAAAATTTATATGTGTACACAAAATAGTTATGATAGATATACAGCTGCTTTTTCTTAACTTAGAGAGTAGAAAATTTGTACTAATATTGTTTATACAAAATATCATGTCTGCATTTTCTCCTCTAAATAACTTCTACAAATATAACAATATGCAATGTATTAACATTGTAACTGCCCTACTAACCTGTATTGAAATTGTCTTATTGCCATATTATCTTTTTTTCTCATTAAAATGAATAAAAATAAATAAAATTTAAAGGTATGATATCACTTTCAACTACGTGTACTGCTTAAAAATAAGCTGTCATTTCTAGGTTATGAATTATTTGATGTCAATATACAAATTCTAAAATATAATATATAAAATTGCAAAGAAGTTACTGTAAAGTATGTCAATATATAAAAAGAAAAGAAAACAGGCACGGGGAGATAGCTCAGTAGAATAGGTGCTTCCTTGGCAAGTGCAAGGGCCTGAGTTCAATCCCTGGTTCCACCAAAAAAAAAGAAAGAAAGAAAAAAAACAGAAAAGAAAAAAGAAGAAAGAAAGCAACGATTACATGTGCTCTTAACTTTGATGTATCTCCTCCCAGATTTTCTTTTATTATATTCAACACAAAGAATAATTTTTAATTTTAAAAACCTATAATTCACTGTATTTGATGAGAACCTTGAAAGACACATTAAATATTTATTGACCTCATGCTGATTAAAGTGAATTAAATATAAATTGGTATGGTATTTCTTCATTCTTTTATTACTGTTATTTTTATATTCTTAACTTCAATTTGCCAAGATTAGTTCCTGATGGATAATAAGCTTCAAATGACTGATTTTCACACACTTACACATACATGCACTAATTTTTGTACAAATGTAAGGTTGATGGTAATCAGCAATACTTGGTACACTAAGAAGACCCACGAGAAATGAAGAATAAATTAGCGAAGTTAAACGATATCAACGTGTTCAGGAAGGAAGATTTAGTGACTTAGAATAAGGTCGGATTTCGGGGTCAGATTGTTCTCATGAACATGTGACTTGCATTTGTATCAGTAAAAAATAAACCCTTTAACATCATGAAAACATAATAGGACATAAAGGAGTGACAGTAGTCACCTCACAATTGTCCCAGCTTTCTATGATGAACAGAAGGACATAATCCATTTTTTGTGTAGTTCTTGTTGCTATTTTAGCCAATAACATGCTTTCTTGCTCTCTAGAAAAAAGGAAAATTCTTAGAATGAGAAATGACAACAGAGGACCCTGAAGGAGACAGTACACCACAGAAGACTGTACCTGTTTGCTGTTTGGAAGTACTTACATAAGTTTAACTGCCATTAAAATCTATACAGATTTTCCTCCAAAACTAAAAATAATATATTACTCTCATTTGATCAAGAAATCCAGACTTTTGCTTTATATCTAAAGAAATAAAGATCTGAACCTCTGAGACACTTTTTATTCCAATTTCATTTCAAGATTATTCCCAATAATAAACACAAAGTCACCTAAGTTTCTTTGTTTATTGAAGGGAAAGAAATAAAGAAAATATGTTGTACACATATAACTGCCTAATATCAAGGACTAGACAGGGAGTATATTCTGTAAATACTGCAACAGTCAAACAAAGAATGCATAAGTTTTTTTAAATGATATATTAACTTACATGGATGTAGAATATACACTGTGGAAGTAAAATTTTTCACAGTAGTAGATCTTATGTGCTATTACAACAAAGGGTAGGAAAGCAAACCAAAGTAGTGAACCCAGGTCAAGAAGGATGTGTTGGAGGTGATGTGCAATTTTTAGATTTTGGTGTTTGAAAAGCTCTTTAATAAAAAACCTGTGATGATTACACACCTAGATGTGCCTTGCTTATCGAGGGAGGGAAGAAGCAACAGACATACAAGGAGTAGAGATTTTTAATGTCTAAACGTGCCTGAATAATCATTGGCATTGCACTTCATACAACTGAGGTTTTTATTGAATAAAAATTTGAAATGTCAGAGATTACACATTCTACAGGAAATATTTGTTGCCAAACAAGATTTATTGACTTTTTTCCTTCTGTTCATCATGTAAAATGAGCTCCTTTACTCAAATTTTCAAAATTACAGATCGTTTTCAACTTAAATGTCAGTAATTTTGTAGATGATGTCATGTGTGTGCCTATTTCAAAATGCATACAACTGTGCATATTATAGTGCTCGGATTTTTCAGTGTTAATCTTGGCAGAAGAAAAACTGCTTAAAAGTTACCAGTTGTATTGCTCAACTCTTGCGTTTGTCTTATGAGTACATTTTGTTTTGCAGTGCTGATGTTGAAAATCAAGATGTTAAATATCCCAAGATATTTAAGATGTCTGCAAATTAGCTGCATCTCCAAACTGTGGAAAAAATGCTTACCTTAACATAAAAAGAACTTAGATATAAAAATTATAGTTAACTGTCAAATGCAATAATGAACTTTTAAAACAATTATTTAATTAGAACAGTATTCAGCGGATGGAACAGCTAAGTGGAGTAAAGTAGCTGCTTAAGCAAGTTTAGACAAGTGCAGGGGTCGAAGTTCTATTCCTAGCAGCACCTGCAGTGCCAGCCCCACCCCCAAAGCAGGCTAAGCACGGAAGAGTCAGGGTATAGTTGTGCATGCCTCAAATCCCAGCACTGGGGAGGCCAAAAGCAGGAGGATCATTATGAGCCCAAGCTGTGTAGTGAGACCCTAAAACGACCAAATACATTAAATTCAATCAATCAGTCAATCAATCAATCAATCAATCAATAAAACAGTCATGATGTTATAGCCTTAGTATAAAACAAATGCTGAAGTAAAAACTCTGAAATGCAATAAAAATGAGAGAAATCCAAACTACAAAATGTGGAATGAGTAAAACAATATTAAAAGTGTTAAAACTAACTCTAAGTTAAACGTAAATTAAAATTTAATTTTGAAAAAGAAAATTAAAATTCATGAGTAACTGAGACTGGTAAAGAAATATATTCCACATAGAAAGCAAAGGCTGGACTAAAAAGAATGAAGTAAAACAGACAAGCAAAAAGAACAGCACTGAGTAAAGATGATAAAATTTTCAAAAGTAACACTAAATACTATTAAAATAAATTTTTTTAGAATATCTAGCAATTGTTTTCATTTTCAAAAGTCTGTATTCCTCTCCACAATAGAAAGTAATAGTACAATTATATATCATATATAGTATTCCTGCCTTTATTTTCTACTATTGCTCAATTCATTTGTTCTTTCTTATTGAACTATTTCTTTCCCTTTCTCTTAATTTTTTTTTACCAATTTGCATGTTTCTAACAGGCAATCTGAACCCCTAACGTGAAGACAACAATATGAAAAGAATGCATATACATAGGATAGGCAAAATGATTAGAGTATTAATTTCTAGTTGTTTATTGAAGGAAACAGTTCATGGTTAAAATGTATAATATTGACATATTTTATAAGCTTATATATGGTACTCTAAGCTAGTTTGAAGATAACAATGTACAACATATCGACTATTTTTGAGTTCCAAAAATCTTTTTTTTTAAATTCTGTAATTTCTAACTTTGAAAATTATTTTTATTCTCTTTAAGATTAAATTAAATAAAGTGGCAAATCATATTGAATTGGCACAGTGCAATAACATTGCTATTCTCTTACTGGTTTATCATGAAAATTTTTTGTAAAATAAAAGGTAACAAGTATGTATGTATTAATATTTATTATGTCATAACATAAATAAATAAATATATATATATATCATACATTAGTTAAGATAGTTATGCTACTAATTTCTCTTAGTTATTTGAAAAGAAAGGTTTGTGCTAATATTGTTTGGACAATTAAATACTGATATGTTTTGCTCTGAGTAACGAATTTAAACATGACAGTGAATTAACCCTTATTTCCCTTCCCATTATCTTGTTTCCAAATTTTGCTTTTGTCCTTAAAATAAAAATTTCAACTTTTCTACATTTTTACTTTTATTTTTAATATTTATTTATTTGTTTATTTATTTATTCATATATTTAGTTCAGGGTATAACTGTGCAGCTTGGACTCAGTGGTCCTTCTGTTTTCAGCCTCTGAATCAATGGGATTAAAGTCATGCAGCAACACTTTCAGACTCCATTGAAGGCTCAGCATACCCAGGGGTGGGGCCATTGCAACATGGGGTACTGGGGATAGAACCTTAGTCCCAGTGCCTATCTAAGCACGTTTTTGGTCAGAGACCCTAACTTTTCTAAGAAAAATAACTCTAGTTATTTTCTTTAAACCCACCCGTGCAGTAACACTGGCTCTTAATTTTGTTTTTGGCTTTGTGATGCATGAGTACATGCAGTAATAAGGGAATGAAAAGGGACGCATTCATATGTCATGGAGATGAATGTTCACTTCTTCCATGTGAACCTGCATACACACTCTTTATTAGTCATGAGAATGAAGGGACTAACAGTAGGGAAACAAGCGTTGGTTAAGAAAGAAGCTTTAACCAGCCACCAAGCACTTTTGTCATAAACAGAGAACCAAACGTGTGTGATGGAAGACAGGGTATACGAGGATACAAAGGCACAAACCAGAAAAATTATGCTTTGAGAAGCTCTGGTCTCAGGCGAACATCTTGATGAGATTCTGTGTCTGTGAATATGTTGTGTTTGCTGCTTGTGCCTGTACAGAATCAAAACCATGGAGCCACTGCTCCAGATCATAAGTTCCAAACACAAAATGTCATGTGATAAAGAAAGTGCTGTGAAAATGGAGTTTTGGGCTTTGCTAGAAATTTTAGCTGAACAATATTGATAATCTATAATGTTTGTCATGTTTCTTCTTCTCCATCTGCCACTCACAAGCATAGGAACTCTGAAGTTTAACAACATGTGGAGGAACCACAAAAGGTTAGTACAATGCCCAATGTACTTTAAGGCTTTCACTTTCACTTCTGTCCACTTGGATGTTATGGGCCTGATGGTGATGGCCTGGACCATACTGAGTAAGCAGGTCGTGCTGAAAGACACACCCTTACCCACCATTAGAACATAGAAAACCAATTTACATCCTACATTATTAAGGAAGTCTTCCACTCCAAGTGCTGTCATAGTCTCTGGGATTCCTCTGGAGAGAAGGACCAAAAGGTTGGCCAAAGTTAAGTGTCTGAGAATTATATCTGTAGACCTGGACCTGCTGTCACTGAAGTACAGGAATGCAGAATGACACAAAAATGAAAAATTACCCAAGCATCCTATGACAATTGGCAAAGGAAGGAGAATTGCAAATTTCAGATCCACCGATGTCATTATTTATGTGTGCAGGATTTCTATAAAGATTTAAGAACATAGGCCTCTATGAAAAAATAAATTCATTAGAAAATATTTAGATAGCATGGTTTAAAAATTAAGAACATTTATGTTTCATTAAATTTTATTTCTAATATATAGATTTAAAAGTTTGTAACTCTTAAATGCTTCTTTTCAATGTATCATTTTAAATACATGGATGGTTGTAATTTCTGCGTTATAGACATTAGTATCATTAGGGATTACCGCATGATGGGTAAGGCTTAATTTTTTAAGGCAAGATCATGTTTAGTAGAGAGAAGTTTACATGACACATCTAAATATGAACATGATATTATTACCCAGCTGTCCAGAAGGATTTGGGACTACCATTCTAATTTTTGTTCTGAGTTATTACAGAGTCAGATTGTTGAATCCATATATAACAGGTCATACTTGAAATATTTTACAGGAATGTTCACTTGTGATGATTGAGATTCTGTGTGTGTGTGTGTGTGTGTGTGTGTGTGTGTGTGTGTGTATGTCATTTATATTATAGAAACATTCCTAGAACATATGTGCGCATGTTTAAAATTAATGGTGGCTTAATAAGTCTCTCACAACATGTTTAGGCTTAATAATCATAGATTAAAATTATGGTAGCACAGAACTTTGCCAGTATCATTTAATAGAGAAGTTATATATGTGATTGGCTTTATTTTCTGAGGTAATACTGGATATATGAAATTTAAGGCATAGAAATTGAATTAAAATTCATGGGACACCTTATTTTTTCTATTTAGAAAACTATAGTATCAAACTATATTTGGAGAGTGATTTCAAAATATATCAGCTACATCCAATAGAATTGTGAGTTTTCACAGCACTCTTATGATGATGGCCAAGGGTGACATGGAGCCACAAAATGGCAATAAGATTTTAATGCTGAAAAATATGACAATACATTCATGAATCAGAAGCAACCTGGACTCTGGATTCTGGGTCGTTTAAATCATTGAAGTAATAACTTAACATTTTTATGGAAATGACGTTTCTAAATGAGAAAATTTTTCTGAAATGATTACTACAATACAAATATTTTCACAGAGATTTACACATCATCTCCATTCGTTACCTCAACCTCGGTGAGAGAAAAATTCTTATTAAACAAATACTGCCATTGGAAAAATTTGATTTTAAAGAAAAATGCTTGCTGAACATTATCCAACATTCTCACTGCCACAAAGAAGAACTTTGACTGAAGCAAGAATGCAGGTGAAATAAGTTTGTCTGATTTCTACACGGCAGGTTTAAAGCATACTGATCTTTTGTTCAATAACATAAGAATGCTGTAATTGAGGGGACATTACTATTAGAAACACTGTCACAACATGTCTTGCTGGATATATGAAGGCACAAGGGAAGCAGTTAGAGACAAGTGAGGGTCTCAGACCTCGAATCTTTGGTCACGGCTCTCCCTGGTCTTCAAGGATCATCTCTTTCCGTTTCTTTGCTACCTGAAAATAATTACTTTTCTACACATAAAAATCACAACTAAGTACAGATGCTATATCTCCTCATTTTCTCACAACCGCTATTTCACAAAGTAAAACAAAAGTAAAGAAAATGCTTACCCAAAACCTACCAGCTCATTGATCAGCTGTCTTTGAAGATAGCCAAGAAACAGCCTATTTGGAGGGAGGAAGGTTGCCAGACCCCAATATATGTATCAGAGTTATAGGATTCCAGCTCCCCTTGGAATGAAATTAAAACTTCACCTGTAATTTTTGTGATGGTACATTTTCAGACACTCAAGGTCATTGTAGCAAACAATTAAATACACAAACAAGTTCTTTCTAGACCTCAATTCCCAGAATCCATTAGAAGTTTCTGTGGGTATTTCTACGCAGAGGTAGTTTGAATGCTTTGAACAATATTTCTCCAACAGCTGAAAACATTATCTGCAAGAGAACAAAACTCAGGTCTGTGTATTTACCCAATTATAATGGATAATTATTCATACATACGTGTCTACTTGCATGTAGATATTGTTCTAAGAATATATATATATATATATATATATATATATATATATTACATTATGTTTTTTGTTGAGAATATTTAAATGTGATCTTTCCCATTTTCCCATGTATGATTTTCTGGTGACTATAACTAATATGCTTTAAATTATATCCCTTCAATTATTATCTGCCATATGATGAATATCAGCCTAGCTCATGCAGGGTCCTAGACACTGTTGCTTTTCAGAATGTAACAGATTTGTATATTTCTGTGTGACTTGATTTATCTTAGCATAAAATTTTCACAGTGTAATAACTTTATTCATAATATATTGTCTTCAATTATTAACAAGTAGTACCATAATGTACCTGTATATAATATTTCCTTTGTTCATTCATGATCTGTTAGGTAATTTATCAAAGTCATTATGAACCATGCTACAAGAATGATGGGGTTGTATCACTTCACCATACTGATTTAAATTCATTTAGGTATATACTCAGCAGGCTTGATTGCCTTTATAATAGTTCATTCAAAAATAGCCTTCCTATTTTCTACAATGGGAAAAATGATCTACAGTCCATCAGTAGTTTCTGATATTTCCCATTTTGCTACATCTCATTCAACACTTGAAGTCTTCTGTGCTTGTTCTCAAGTGACACATTCACGTAGGATGTGATATCTCAGTGTACTTATGCTTTGCATTTCTTAATGATGTACAGTTTTTAGCATGTTTCCATAGAAACATTTGACCATTTGTTTTCTCTGAGAATGTCTGTTCAGTTCTTGGTCAACTGCTAATTTGAGTTTTCAATAAAATACTATTTATATTTTCTTTTACTTTTTGGATTTTGATTCTCTATTTATACCTGATTGCAGTATTTGACTCACCTTGTGAGATAAAAAAGTTACATTTCTTTTTATATAGGTCTTGCTTAATCTTGATCTTATCCATCCAGGAGCAAAGTATAAACATGAGGTATAAAAAGTAAAGCCATATTAATATGCTGAGCTGTAAAGGGCTCAAGCCATCAACTTTTGACATTGCCAGTCCTACAGATAACCCACCACTGTTATGGACTACCGAAGTATATTGGATTATTTTTGCTGAATTCACGCACATACAATATTTAAATGGCAATGGAACACCCATCTCTGACAAAACTAAACAAAAAGGGGATATAAATGAAGGACCGTTTTGTATCTGTATATGCAAGATAGAATAAATATACAGCTACTTTCTCTTAATTAAATGAGAAAAAAGATTTGCACTGATAGTGTTTGGACAGGTTATCATGTCTTCATCTTGTACTATGAATAACTACTATAAAGACTACAATACATAACGTATTACTTATGGTAACTGTCCTGCTAGCCTGTTTTGAAACTAATTTCTATTTGTCCCTAAATAAAATCAATAAAAAATAAATTATTGCTTTATTTCTCGGGAGTAGTCAGTGCATACAAATTTCTTAAAATGATCCGTTTAATAAACACAAACAAATTATCATAAGAGAATTATTCAATCAATAGGGGATAAAGCCATGAGTATAAAACAATCATCAACATGTTTTCAGCAAAGAACAATAAAAGATCTATCTTGCAACCCAGATTGTGAGACATATTTAGACTTGAGTGATAAAATTCCCAATTAAAATACAATATAGGAACACTGTTATTCAATAATGAAAGATAAATGATCAGATAATAGATGATAAGGGATACTGTGAGTTTCAATCTCTAATTAAGAAAATCGATATTAAGGTTTTTAAAAACTGTATCTACAATGCATATCTTACTGTATTGTACTGACAATATAAATCTATAAAGACCCTTGACAAATTTTCAGTAGACATGACTTTGTAGAAAACTTTATGAATAATAATTATACCTACTGACTTTGCCTCTTTAGAATTGAACTTACTTAGTTATTTATATTTAGAACCTCCTTTAACAAGAGAAGAAGAAACATAATCCAAGATTTAAGAAGGATAGGAAATGGAGAGACTGTGTAATGAACTTTTACTGTCCTAAGTTAGTTCTTTGTAATTAAGAATGTTCACAATATTCTTGAATGTTGTGAATGAAACCATTTAATTTTCTACTTATTTATCTTTCACTTGATGACTGGACTTCACTAGGTAAACGTAAAGATCATTAAGGATTCTATGAAATATGGTTGACCAAAACTCACGTGTGTTATCAGAAATGAAGTTGGCTTCACATATTTTGAAAGACAAAAGGAAAAATAGTTACATGAGGACATTTTAAATAATGGTATTTTGCAAGATATACACAAATTTTTGTAAATGTATTAAAATGTCTGTGGAACAATAATTGTTACATTTGGAAGTTCCAGCTATATGAAATTTATGATACATTATTTTATCAATATAAAATTTCAGGAGCAAGTCTCTGGGTTCCCTCCTGTCCATTCAGAAGCTTTGTTTCAGTAATATTTTTCCTTGGCATAGACTATGCTGTTCCTATAATTCATTCCTCAAGTTTATTTTATTTTTATTACTTTTTTCAAATATTTACTTTAAAGAGAGTATAGTAACAATTGATATGACCTTAGAACCAGTATGTATTTAGAAGACCAAAATGATAGATATTTCAAGGATGGTTTTACTATTACACATTGCTATCCTGAGTGTAGTTGCTTAGTTCACAGATATCAGCATGTATAGTTAGTCAGGGTGAGAATTCTACCTATTAACTGTTATATTCAATAACCTGATAGTATTTTACATTCCTCAATTTTAGAGAAAATAAATTTGTTGTTTTGAACATCTGTCAGGTTGAGTGGTTCATTCCTCTATATAATCTGAAGATTTTACAATGAAATAATTGAGTGGAGGTAAGAATTTAATTTTGTTTCATGGATCCTAGATTGTGACTTGCTTAAGTAATCAAAATGTTAGAAACAAAATATTTATGACGTCCTGTCATTGCCCATTGCTTATGAATTGTCATGCGTTATATAAATTTAAGGTGAA